GAAATTTATGATTGTTCGATTCCGTATGATATAATTGACTAGTGGCTTAATTGTTGTTACTAAGCTTTTCATCGGTTGGCTTCTTTTATTTCGAGGACCACAAAAAACTATATTTGCTCTATTTCGTTAATCACTTTGTCAGGCAGAAAATGTCCAGTGTCAGGCACCAATCAGTTGGTACCTGACACTTTGTCAGGCACCGTTGGAAATTTATTTTCAGGCTTGGTAGTTATTATATAAAGGATTTTCTCACACCTTATTACTAATTATTTCTTAAAAATGTACACAAACGTATATTTAACTTGGGCTTCTCCAGGCGGTAATCAGTGCTCGTGGAAACGGTAAATTTTACCGGTTACCGCCTGATAAGGAGAACCCTGCCATAGATAGGAATTTGAAGTTTTTAGTAGGCATGATTTAGGATTTTTGTTTCTATTCATGATTTTCTATAAATGGGTGCCCACCTAATTTTAGAGATATGATATGAATTTATGATATCTTTATCACATAAAAGAGTGGCAGTGTCATCACAACAGTATAAAAACCAATTACTGTGGGCTCAATTTTACAAATACTGTATAAATATACAATAACATAACTTAATTTATGAGAATAAATACAACTATCAGGAACAACAAGAGAGTGGAGTAGCAAGACTACAAGCAGTGTTACATTTCAAACAGATTCTTAGTTTATATTGATAGCAATAATGTACCATCTGTATAACGTACAGTTGTAAAATTTGTAACGTCTCTCTGGAGCAGGGGGTGAGCGGAGGTGAAAACACTGGGAACGAGGATGGGCTCATATTCGTTCTTAAGAGTTTTTTGTAGGGCATATAGACGGGGGGACTCATATATGGGGGGGGGTATTCAAATGTTACATATCAAAATCTAAGTCCTTTATGAATGCAATAAAACATTCAAGTATAGTAGCTTTTGTAGTTTTTGTTACATTTAATCAAACAGCACAAGTTTTTTTGTTTTTTTTTGGGGGGGGGCACAGTCTTTCTTTAGGTTGTAAAGCGATGATTGGGCTAAGAAAATTTCAATACGTCATTGCTGTTGAAATGACTTAATTCATCACTAATAATACGAAAGCTTATGTTGCTCATAATATACCATCCAGCGTCTATTTTTGAGAAAATTGTTGCACAAACCATGTTCCAATGTTTGCGATGTGACCATTGCATATGGCTGTCAAAAACGTCCAGATTAGTTAGATTATTTTTTTCTAAAACATTGCGCGGCTCGTGATTTTAGAACTCTTTTTATGCTTTAACCCAATGAGTGGCTCCACTTGACAAGCAGGGATGGATCCAGCATGGTCTGGTATGGGGGGTGCTCCGCCAAAAAAATTTTTCGGAAAGCAACAACCTCCCCCCCCCCCATCGACAACTTTTTAGGGAAAAATTTTTTCCGGACGAGTACGTTGCAATTGCTTTCCAGTGACTTTACACATCCATCAACTTGCTTAACCACTGCAAAGTCTAGCTACAGTATTTGAATTGTAATTGTTGTTCACAGTTCGCTTATCATCATGTTATTACTCAAATTACTGAATCTCATTTTTAAGTTTGTCAACAAGCCGTCAACAAGTTGTGTTCGCACTGCTTGTCACAAGTTGTGAACAAGTTTGGAACAAGCTGTTAACAATTTGTATTTGATATTATCAGACTTGTTACAAGGTTGTTCCAACAAGTGCGATACAGTCATGATATAGCAGTATTGTTACAACCTTGTGTCGTCAACCTTGTAACATTCTTGTTTATCATGACTGTATCAGACTTGGTAGAACAACCTTGTAACAAGTCTGATAATGCCATCAAGCTTGTTACAAGTTGTTAACAGCTTGTTCCAAACTTGTTACAACAACTGGGAACAAGCAATGCGAACACAACTTGTCGACAGCTTGTGAACAGATTTGTAACAACTTGTTTACAGACCTGTAACAACTTGTGCGTTTTTACGGGTCATTATTTATGGCGGGGGGTGGCACCGAAGAGAAAAGGGTTGGGTAAACAAAATTTTGAGTGAGTAAAAGGTTGGGTAAATGAAAAACAAAACAACTCAAGGTTTGGGTAATAAAAAATTTATTGTCATTTCCAAAGCATGACCCCCCCCC